GATTTGCTGGCTGAACAATGATTGCATTATAAATGCATAACCGAGAAATCTCCAACAGATATATGAAATACTCAGAATTGTGCGCCGTTGAGCTAATGATTAAAAATCGGCATTAAAACTTCATATCATTGAACTCGAACGAAACCCGCTTTGAAATGAAGATTTGCATAGAAAAAATGATAAGACAAATGAGGAAATATATAGTTTACACTTGAGAATGACGCAGGAAATATTTCCTTTCCTATTCTGACAATGGTGTTACTGTAAATGAATTTAGAACAGGCTACCAATTTATCAATAATGATAAAAAAATGATGTATCAGATGAAGAAAATCGCAGATTTCCGAAAAGTATCCGCCAAACTGTCGGCAATACTTACAAGCAACTGTTAAGAACAAGCCTGTGCACAATCTCCTTAGAACCACTTCTTTTGATGAGAGGTGAAGAGAAAAAATAGAAATAGCCTTTAGAGTATGAAAAGATTCAATCACACATTAGTCAAAAAAAAAGAAGACAAGAAGTCTGAGTGATACCAAGAAAATAAAAGTTCAACATCTCATTACTTACTTGGAGCACTTAATGAATGTTCTCTTTTTTCCTCCTTCTTCACTTCTGCTGGTGGAGGTCGCATTGGTACAATTTTTGTAGGTGGTGTAGTAGATGAAGGCATTTTTTGTGCATAACCCTAAAATGGTCAAAGATAAGATGAAATATTATTTAATTCAAGTTATGCGTGTCCACGCCATGCAACATGCATAAGGATAAAAAGTAATAAACAAAGCATGCAAAAACACTCATCATAAACGTATTGCGACGCACCACAGGATGTGAGGTTGGGGATGTTGTTGAAGGAGTTGTGGCAGTAATTGCACTGCCAAATGTGCTCTTCTCCACAGCCTCATTTGAGGCTGTGTGAGTAGGGCTTTCAATAAGATTATCCGCTGACTAAATGGATTTTTAACATGAAAATGGCCGGAAAAATACAAAAGTTAAATACCCCTTTCTTCTTGATGAGTAGCATACTGACAGGTCGTTTTCCTGGAGGACGAACTCTATTCTTTGTCACATGGCTTAACGGCCTAGCGACATCATCAGATGCTTCCTCCGTTTCGATGCTGCTAACAGGTCTCGCTGTTGCAAC